GAAAAGGTGACGCAACTATTTCCTGACTAACTGACCGGCAGAAGGCCCAGGGAACAGCGACGATTATCTTGTTTGATGTACATTTAAGGAATCTGCTTGAAGTTGAAGTCTGCTGACTTTTGCCGAACCTCGGACTTTGACACAAGATTGGGAATGCTGGAGGCACTGTCTGACGCGTCTACTTCAACGGCCCGAAAGGAGATGCGGTAATGGAAGATAATTGAATAAATCATTTTTTCGATACGATAGAATCAGCGTTAGAATATGCTTAAAAACAAACGAAACATGAAGCAAACAGAAAAATGTGCAGTGGACAATTCTACTTGGATCTATGTTAAAATTAATTCAAGGGGGCACCAGGCATCCCGGAGAAGCACTTGCAACCGCGACGGAGAATAAATGAACAGGGGAACGTGACACACAATGCAGTATTTTTAGAAAATGACATATTGAGTTGATTGTGTTGTATAGTCAAAGTTTGTTCAAATAGGTTTTCTGGCTCCAGATAACGCTGCTTGGGCTGGTTTTTCTTTCAATTTAGGCCGGATCGATGGAGTTGCTGACATGCATCAGCTGACTTGTCTTCGATCCTGCAAATCTGTTTCGCTCTATCGTTTGCTGTAGCTGGTGGGATGCGCGTTCAGCGTTTTTTCGGCCGCCAGTTTTGCAGCTTGCTAACTAAGCGCGTGCGGGATTTGAAAGATCTGTACGTGAAACCAGAAAGACTTGAAGAACACGTATTCTGGCAAGTACATTTTATAATTCTTTAATTCCACTCGGAATGGCATTTGATCTTTTAAAGGCAGTTCAAATGGATTATTGTGCTTTAGGTATTGGTTAATATTCGACTACGAACGATACATGTTTTATAATTTGTATACTTTGAGATTTCACATGGATCTTAGAATGTGAAGTGTTCGTGGGTTGTGGAAAGCAAGCCGAGCATGAGACTGAGGGCTTTATTTCCTTCGAGAAGTTTGCTGACAATCGCAACAGTTGCTATCAGCGCAGATTGCAGGTGATATATCGCTATGTAGAAACTAAGCG